TTGCATTATACATTTCTACCTCTGATTGAGATGTTTTGTATATTGTCACAAATTTGAGGTCATTGTCTTTATACTGTGCATCTGTTTACAGATGTTTATTTTTATAATGTGAAGCTTTAATCTTTAGGTTGATAATCATTATAGGTTAATAGTCACCTATGCTTATCATACTTATAGTTATGTTAGTTAGGTTTCCTAGATATGCAGAAACATATGTCAGATGGATAGGTAGTCTTCAAACACTTCATAGACCTAGAGGATGTGGCATTTAAATGTTTTAATAACTTAGAACTGTGTTGACATGAGACACAATTGCTCCTGGTAGCACCAATCTACTCTCAAGAGGATGTTGGGCATTGCAGATACTCCATACAGAATTTGTCTTCCTCTTGGCATAAATGGCCTGTTGGGCATAGAACTGTCCTTGCCTTGACTGCTGACGGTAAGCATGCTGTCCATTCTGGAGAAGCAAGACACAAGGGAAGCAACTGCTGAACCTTGGCAAGCCAGGGTAGGACAGTCTTTCAAAAATTTTCTGCTTCTGAAAAATGGTCTGTCAGATATTCTAGGCCTGTAGCCAAAAATGGTTGCCCCAACATTGCAGAGAAACCTTGGGTGGCTGTCCAGGCTGCCAGCTGTTTCTGTCATTCCTTGTATTTTTTGGAAGTTGCTTGCTTGTACTCCCTGCTTGCTCAGGTAATATTATTTTCCTTCTTGGGTCTTTGATGCGGTTGAAGACTAGATGGTTACAGTTACAATCCTCTCACTCAATCATATCATATCTAAGAACCAATCAACCAAAAAAGGAACACACACACACTCCACAAAAACACAAAAATGAATAACAATATAAACAAGCAAAAGACCAATAAGACAAAAAGTGCCCAGGCAAAAAATCCCCAAGAAAACCACTGAATTTGTTTAGTGTCAGTTAGCTACTGCTCGGCATGAGGCCTACCCCTAAGTGTGGTTTTATACACCCAGCAGAGCTCCTTTGGAGAAAACTGATTTCTCTTTTGCAAATGGCTATTAATTGGAGATGGCTTCCTGATTAGGGATGGGAGCTAGTCTTGACTCCCCCCTCTCAGTGCTGGCTCCCCACCTGGCTTGAACCTGTGCAGGCCCTGTGCGTGCTGCCACAGTCTCTGTGCGTTCATGTGTGCATCAATCCTGCTGTGTCTGGAAGACACTGTTTCCTTGGAGTCATCCGTGCCTTCTGGCTCCTACAATTTTCCCCTTTTCTCTTCGTAGATTTTCCTGAGCCCTGAGGAGAAGGGTTTGATAAAGACATTCCATGTAGGACTGAGTGTTCCAAAGTCTCTCACTCTCTGCATATTGTCTAGTTGTGGGTCTCTGTATTTGTTTCCATCTACTGCAGGAGGAAGCGTCTCTGATGAGGGCTGAGCAATCACTGATCTATGAGTACAGCAGAATGTTGTTAGGAGTCATTTTATTGCTATGCAGATAAACCTTTAGCAGAACTATAGTATTTGATTTTCCCCTAGACCTTTGACCGATCTAGTCTCGGGTTCTTGGCTACCTGAGCAGTGTCAGGTATGGATGCCATCTCATGGAATGGTGCTTAAATCTATCGGATAATGGATGGTTACTCCTACAATATCTGTGCCAACATTGCACCGGCATATCATGCAAGCAGGTCAGGATTGCAGGGTTTGTAGCTGGGTTGGTGGCTACCTTTCTCCTCTGGAAGCAAGCAGAATGCCTTTCAGGACCATGAACACTAACTAGTCAGGAGGGAGAAAGCTTGGTAGTTAGGCACCAATGACTCTGTGTTCAGTGAGATATGGAGGTGCTGTCTTCAGTAACAGGGCCTCTCCATCAAGTTGTAGAGAGTAACAATAACCTTGGCAATAGTTTGTGATGTTTTGGGGTTTCCATGGGGTCCCTTTGGCCAATGACTCAACAAGATATAACCCATTCCTGGCAATGGAGGTTTTACTTGGTGGCATAAGATGTCTAGTTTGGGTATCAATTCCCCTATGATTTTGTGACTCTATTTAGATTCATATATGTGTATAATTTAGGAAGCTTCTGCAGTAGTAGGTTTCCATATAGCTTTACAAACAGACTTTCTTGTTAGTTGTCCGTTCCCATATCCCCTCCTTTACCCTTCTCTTCCATCCCCTCCCTGTTTAATCCTCCTGTTGTAGATTCCCCTTTTATCTCCATAACAATACGTTCTATTTCCCTTCCTTGAGACATCCTCACTTCCCACTTAGTCCCTTACTAGGTACCTGTGGTGGTTTGAACAGGAATGGCTCCCATAGACTCAAGTGCTTGAATGCTTGGCCCATAGGGAGTGGCACTAATATTAGGAGGTATGGCCTTGTTGGAGGAAGTGTGTCACTGTGGGAGTGGGCTTTGAGGTCTCATGTGCTCTTTCTTTGGGTTTTTTTTTTTTTTTGCTTGTTGTTTTGCTTTTTCGAGACAGGGTTTCTCTGTGTAGTTTTGGTGCCTGTCCTGGATCTCGCTCTGTAGACCAGGCTGGCCACAAACTCACAGAGATCTGCCTGGCTCTGCCTCCCGAGTGCTAGGATTAAAGGCATGTGCCACCACCACCTGGCTTTCATATGCTCAAGCTATGCCCAGTGTGGCATACAGTGTCCTTCTGCCTCCTGCAGATCAAGTTGTAGAATTCTCAGTTCCTTCTCCAGAGCCATGTTTGCCTGTGTGCTACCATGTCACATGCACCATGATGATAATGGATTAAACCTCCAAACCTGTAAGCCAGCCGCAATGAAATGTTCTCCTTTAGAAGAGTTGCCATGGTCATGGTGTCTATTCACAGCAATAGAAACCCTAACTGAGACAGTACCTAACTTCTGTAGTTATTCAGATTATAACACACACATTGAAGGCTTAAAAGCTAACATCCACATATGAGGGAAGGCATATAATATTTGCTTTTATATGCAAATATAAAAGTCTAGGTTACCTTGCTTAGGATGATTTTTTTTCTTGCTCCATCCATTTGTCTGCAAATTAAATAATTTCTTTCTTTTGGGGTGAGTATTAGAGACAGAGTTTCTCTATGTAACCCTGGCTGTCCTGAAACTTGTTCCATAGACCAGGCTGGCCTCGAACTCAGAGATCCGCCTCCTGGATGGGGTTAAAGATGTGTGCCATCATGCCTGGCTTTATAATTTCATTTTAAAATAGCTGGATAACATTTCATTGTGTAAATGTACCCCATTTTTATTATCCATTCATCAGCTGAGCCCAGCAGCTGGCTGTTTTTTAAACCTGACACATCTGCCTCATCACATAGCCTTGGCCACCAGGTGGCTCCCACTCGCAGCCATGTCTACAAGGATCTAAGGCAGGATGCTTATTTCCTAGTGGACGGTACTGGTGGGCAAGTCACTAGAGCTCAAGAGCCCTCCCACTTCCCACCCTCGCTTTCTTCCACAGAAGAAAAGAGTTGATCGAATAAGGAAGATGAAGTCCAGGAAAAGAGAAGTTAAAAAAAAAAAGTGCAAAATGGCCAGGAAGATGGCTTAGTAAGTACCTTATGCACAAATATAAGGACCTAAATCCGAGTCCCTGCAAAGATAAAAGAAAAAGCTAAATCATACATTCAATAAAGGGCTAGTAAACAGAATAGAAAAGAAACACACTGGTTAACAAATACTTAAAAACACATTCAGCGCTCTTAACAGGGAGACCAAATTAAAGCAACTTTGAAGTTCAATCTCACTGAAGTCAGAATGGCCATCATTAAGAAAACACATAGGATGTAGAAAGTGGAATGCTTATTCTCAGGTGGTGGGAACAGAAGTTTGTATGGCCACGTGGAAATCAGTATAGAGGTTCCTCAAAAAGCAAGCAAGCTAACAAAGCTAACGGAGGCAAGCCTGGCACGATGGTGCACACCTGTAATCCCAGCACTCGGGAGGCAGAGGCAGGCAGAGTTCTGAGTTCGAGGCCAGCCTGGTCTACAGAGCGAGTTCCTGGATAGCAAAGGCTACATGGTGAGACCCTGTATCAAAACCAACCAACCAACCCAGAAACTGAATGTCCATATGAGGAGGTTGTTTCTAAAACCTTAATGGGATGCTGTGGAGTAACAATAAAGAGTGAAGAGAGTTGGGGGTTGAGCTTAATGTAGCACTTGGCATGCATGAGGCCTTGGGTTCAATCTCAGCACTGCTAAGAATAAGAGTTTCCGTGCTGAGACCCACTGTCGTGAAAACAAAACAAAACAAAAAACCCCAGTGTTCTTGTGGGTTACAGTATGTTTCTCCTTATACTGCACTTCTCCCAGGATGCACACCATGGCCATTTGATGTCTATAGAGAAATGAATGACTTTTTAAACCGTATGACTGGATCCATTCAAAAGAAAGACTACCCCAGAGTAAACCAAATGCAAACTATTTCAAACAAAAGGCTGTGAGCTTGTCAGTCTTCACCACTGTGACAATAAAACTGTTTCAGGGGAGGGGCTGTTTTGGCTTATGGGCAGCCTGTTCCCCGTGTGGGCCTGAGGTGAGGCTGATCTCTCAGCAAAACAACTCACTCTGCTGCGGACAGAGCGGAGAGTTAGGAAGGGGCCAGGGCCCAGCATACATCCTCAGGGGCTTCCTACTCCTCCTCACCTACTTTCTAGTACCTCCCAGTACCGTGAAAGGATGCAGCAAGGATTAATCCTTGGGTTAAGGCAGAGCCCCTGCCGTCCAGCTGCTTCTAACAGCATCACAGCTTGAGGGGACGCCACACTTCCACCCCAGCAGTATCACTCTTCCACGCTGTGATGACTTGATTACTATCGTCTCTTTTGAATCACAACCCACTCAGAAACCCTAAAGGGGCATGTTTATCCCTATTTGACCGTTTACAGATCTCACACTATCTTAGGTTGATTTGGACTCACTCTCTCTGCCCTCTGTTGTGAGAAACCTGGCGGCCGGTAAATCGGTAGGAAAATGCTTATTATGTAAGACCTTACAGGCTTCAACAAAACACCACCAACGAAGAGACTTGGATTTAAAGTTTTAATAATAAATTGTGCCAGTAGAAGCTTTCAAAGGCAATGATATATCAATAAATAATAGTTAAATCGAGTTCCTGAGAAAGAACCTACCACATGAAACTATGTCAGAGCGCTGTAAATAACACGGCATTACTACAAAATAGCAAGAATACTGTAAGTCACAATACAAGCACAGCAGACTTCAGAATATGCCATTCATACAAATGTAAACCAGGACACAGGAATGTTTCTTAGACATAGATAAATTTGTAAGTGTTTCTGCCTAGATACATACTAAGTAACGGATACATTATGCTAAGAACCTCAAGGAAGATATGTGGAATAGTATAATGAAAATGTGATGCATTCCATCTTTTAAAAAGCAAAAGAAATTGAATGTATTCAAATATAATCACTTTTAAATAGGAACCATACTAATCTGAAGTAAGGAATATTTTGTGTGTTTATCTATAGTTATATATACACCTATATGTCTAAGAAAAAAAATGTATGGCTTGTTTTTGTACTTCAATGTCACTTTGAAGAATCTTTTTTCTTTTTACAAAGTTAGAAAAACGTGTTGGGTAAGCCATCTTAAGATTTGACACCTCGCCCTGTGAGAGAATCACAGGACTGAGTCTCACGGTGACGCCTTGGCTGACTGAGGAAACAGGAAACAACACTTACCTCGCCTTTTGGTGTGGGAACCCGTTAGTGAAAAAACTTAGGTCCCCGCTACAGCTTTCCACATACCAAGACTGACGGCATGCTGGACTAGAAAAGTGGACAGAGTGCTACGATTATGCCCAATGTTTTGGCATAGGTGAATTAATCCCTTTTGATGTGTTTTATATATGACAAATGTTTACAATTGCCTCCCAAAGAACCCAGTCATATCCAAGACACACATGTTTAAAAAAAAAAAATCACACTTCAGTTACATATAAGCATTTCTTTAACAATAAGGGCTACAATCATCACCCACACAATACATTATCAGCACACTTTCTAGAATACCTCATTTAAAAACATATTCACAGGACCTGCTGTGAATGGCAAGATACGGTAATTTATAATAGAAAACTGCTCACGCAGAACTTTCCACACCTCAGACACGGACCGCCCATCATTCCTGTGTCACTCTCTCTAGGATACTATAATATGCAAAGAAAAAGAGAAGCACAAAAGCAGCTTTTAAACATTACATCACAACTGTGAAATGTGGGAAAGCTATAAAACAAAGCCACCGTGTGGATACACGGTCTTCGTGACTTGGAGCGGAGCGTGGTCTTTTCTCTCACTTATTGCACAGACTTCTTATCACATGTTCTTCAGTTCTTACTTCTTTCCTACATGTGGACAAGTGCTATCAGATAAAACACAAATGGAAGTAACAGCAGCATGATTTGTCAAAGTTAATCCTTATAATTTAGTAAGAAAAAAATGGGTATCCATAAAATAAGTGCTCTTTCCATATGGTACTAAATTTTTAAAAATATTGTTTTAATGCCGTGAAGGTCCTCAGAGGACCCACTCCAAGTCATGGTGACCCTCCCTGTTGCCCATTAGCCAGAACTAGAAATGAAGGATTCCTAAACTTGAGTTTGTCTTAAAAAAAAAAAATCTTGTTTGGGGTTTTCTTGTCAACGACCAGAGCTTCCCGAGCTGTGATCACTGAGGCCACGGGCCGCTTACACATACACCGGCTGGCAGCTCTCGGGGGCATTGCCCAGCTCTGCATCCTCGGGGCCTGCGCCCTCGGCCGGCTCGGAGGGCTTCGGGCACCGGAAAGGGTGGCCGTTGTCGTCGAAGAACCTGCGGAAGGTGAACTCGTAGAAAGCATGCTCTGGGTGCTTGCTGTGGGGGGAGGCCAGCGCGTCCCAGGCCTTGGCGCTCTCGCCGCTGGCCTCGTGCCAGGGGCTTTCTTCATCCACCGGGTCAAAATTGGAGGTGTCCATGGGGTGGCTGATGGTGGGGACGTAGGGCGCGGGCTGCTTCCGGATGTCGCGGGAGAAGTCGATGGCGCTGAAGAAGGGGTGCACCTTGAGGTCGTCGGCCCCATCCCTGCCCAGGCGGCTGTCGGCCGCGCAGCACAGCCTGGTGATGAGGTCGCGGGCCTCGGCGCTCAGCTTCACCTGCGTGGGGATGTGCAGCGTGTTCTCCCAGTTGATGACCTGTGCGGAGCAGAGCGGGGGTTAGAGCTTCCTCAGCCTAGGTCCTGGGCCTGCACTGCTGCAGCCTCGGCCAGCTGAGGGGGCTGAGCCTCTCACCAAACTCCTCGGCTATGGCAATGGCTTTCTGTTGGGCCATCACAGTGCTCACTTGGTATGGACTGAGGCTGGCGGCTGGCCTCTGGGATTTTTCTTTTCTTTGAGATAACTGACCCCAGCTGACCTTGGCCTCATCTGGGTGGTCATTAACTATTATCTGTCATGAAGCCGTGTGCACTGTGAAGAAAAACCTAACATCTGCTTTGGTCAGGCTTAGGCCCAGGGTGGGACTGGACAGTGTACCCGAGTGCTGCTGGAGAGGCTCCATCTGCAGCAAGTGTATCAGAGAGACGAAAACTATGAAATGTGAGCCAGGTCTCTGTGAGTTCGAGGCCAGCCTGGTCTACAGAGCGAGATCCAGGACAGGCACCAAAACTACACAGAGAAACCCTGTCTTGGGGAAAAAAAAAATATGAAATATGACCCAGGTCTTTTTGATTATGATACCAAGACACCAGCAGGAAAGAAAAAGTATGTTGGATTTCATGAACATTACAAACTTTTGTGCCATGCACGATGGCACACATCTAGCATCTCAGCGCTTCAGAAGCGGGGCAGGCCAGCTGCAGGCTCAGTCTGGTCTACATGGGGAGTCCCAGGCCAGGCAGGGATATGCTACTGGGACCTCACTAACTGAACTTACTAAGAATGAAGAGTACCCATCAAATAGACCGCGTCTGCAAAGCATACACGTGTAAAGGACTTAATATCTAGAATGCATAGAGAACTCCACCAACAAATAATCTGAATTATAGAACAGGATTAAAGACTATTGGCCATTCTCACAAAACTATACGATTGGTAAATGAGTACGGGGGCACATGCTTAATATCACTAATGACCAGGGAAACCGGAATGAAAAGCCTGATGGCACACTACCTCACACCCACCCACAAGGATGATGGGGTTGGTGGTGCATGCCTGCAATCCTGGCACTCAGGAGGCGAAGGCAGATGGGCACCAGCAGGTGGCGGCAAGGACGTAGATAAAATGGAGTCTGGTACACTACTGGAGTGAAATGGAACACAGCTGTTGCCAAGCACCCTGGTTCAGATGTGTAACCTCAGAACTGAGGAAACTGCAAACTGAGACAGGAGGATGTCTCAAGTTTAAAATTAGTCTGGTCTATGTATGGTAAGACTGTCTCAAAAAAAAAATGGATGAATGAATACATACATATAAAACAGTGTGGTTGTTCTTAACAGTTTGGCAGTTCTAAGAGAGAAACACGGAATTGTCTTCTGGGTGTAAGTCCAGAACGATTGAGGAGGGCTTGAAGCACGGGCTACGCACTGTGTGCACAGCAGCACCAGTCACAGGGTCACAGGAGCCAAGAGGACGGGGATACCCGGACACCTGTCAGCCGGTGAATGGGTCATCAAAACACAGGGCACACACTTAAAGGACTGTAATTCAGTCTTAGAAGGAAGGAATCTACACACACACAAACAGGGATGAACCTTTGTGTGTGTGTGTGTATGTATTCATATGTATATGCTATATATATATGAATATTCATATATATACATATGCTAAGTGAAAATAAGACAAACAGTAAGTGCAGAACTCCACAGCTATGAGAGACTGGTCAAATTCTGAAACAAAGGGTCCATGTGGCTGGGGAGAGGGGACAGGAGCAGTTATTCAATGGGTACGAAGTTTCTATGTGAGACAAAAATATCCAGAAATGGTTTGCAGAGCCCTGTGTGAACACACTTAAGGCTAACAGATCATACACTTCAAAATAGTTGAATGTAAATTCATGTCATACCTATTTTGTCACAATAAAAAAAAAGTATCTGGCTTACTATCACGTAGGCAGATCAGTGAGTGGTCAGTTCAGGTAGTGAACAGAAGACGCCAAACCAACTGTGCTGTTCAGTTACACTGAGCTTTGATTCAAAGACTGTCTGTCTGTCTGTCTGTCTGTCTCTCCCTTCCCCTCCCCTCCTCTCTCCTCTCCTGACACAGTGTAGTTTTCTCTGTGTAGCCCTGGCTGTCCTGGAACTCCCTCTATAGACCAGGCTGGCCTTGAACTCAGATCCACCAGCCTCTGGCTCCTCAGTGCTGGGATCAAAGGCATGTGCCACCACCGCCCAGCTGTTCCAGTTTATTCCACTCCACCATGGACTGATCAGGACAAAAAAACTCCCTAGACTTTTGCTTCTGTAAATCCACTCAAAAGTTCAGATTTTCAGCTTAACTCTGAACTAATTAAGGATTACTCATTCAGAAAGTGGCTGTGAATCTAAAATGAATTACTGAATGATTAGCTGATAGGTTCAGGTATTTCCGTGAGTACTGGGACTACACACAAGTAGTCTGACCACCGAGCTGCTAAATATAACCACGGTGACAGTGTCCACATAAGCACAGGGCTGATGGCCTCCTCAGGACACACCAGGCAGGGGGCTGCTCCACAGCTGCCACTTGAATTTCACTGTGTGTAGTCCCTGCCTGGACATACCACCAGGGCAGACAGACAGACAGCAGTGGTTTAAATAAAGCTACAGGTATAAAAATACATTAAAACTCAGGTCTAGCTTTGTTTTAATATCAAAAAATTCAAGAGTATAGGAAAAGTAACAGAACCTTTCTTTGGAAAATCCCACTACAAATGACTGCCATTTCTATTCTATTGAGTGTAAGAGGAGAGGTCCAAAACTGGCCAAGGGTTGTGAGAAGCACGGTGCTCTGCATCACACGGGCACACACTCCTTGCTTACCTTCAGCTGGGTTTCCGTGGGGGTAGGTGCCAAGAAAGGTGGCTGCCCAACCAACATCTCAAAAAGAATCACGCCAACACTCCACCAGTCACAGAGCTGTGTGTACCCTGAAAGACAGTATTCTCTCAGTCCCACAGCACAGACTCTCCTCAGGCATGCGCACCTAGGTGGACTAGATACCACACTCCACCAGTCCCAGAGCTGTGTGTACCCTGAAGACAGCATTCCCTCAGCCCCACAGCACAGGCTCCCCTCAGGGCCTGAAGACTTAGATGGACTATGATGCAAAAAGGACAGACCTGCTTAAATGCATGTCCTCAGGCAGGGGGCTCAGACTGGCAGATACAATGGGCTCACACAAAGGTGCAAACAGGTACAGACATTTGGATTTTCTTATTTTTTTTTTTTTTTTTTTTTTTTTTTTTTTTTTTTTGGTTTTTCGAGACAGGGTTTCTCTGTGTAGCTTTGCGCCTTTCCTGGAACTCACTTGGTAGCCCAGGCTGGCCTCGAACTCACAGAGATCCACCTGGCTCTGCCTCCCGAGTGCTGGGATTAAAGGCGTGCGCCACCACCGCCCGGCTGGATTTTCTTATTTTTAATCACTGGTCTTCATAAACACAGGATGCTTTTATAGTAAGAAGACAAGACAGTAATTAATTTTTTTATAACTATTTGAGCAAGTGTGTGTGTATGTGCATGCACTATGGCATATGTTTGGAGATCAGAGGACACCTTGTGGGTGTCTGCTTCCTCCTTCCACCATGTGGGTCTCAAGGACTGAACTCAGGCTTGGTAGTGCTTTAGCAACTGGGTATGGGGCAGGTGCAGAAAGCAGGCCGACTTCCTAGGGAAGTTTATAAATCTGTTTCGGATGATGCTGAAGAACATGGAGTCTATGTAGAGAGACCCTGACGTCTCAAAAGCAAAAATAAACAATAAGGAACATGTAGGTAGCCACTGTGGCAGTGGACAATTAACAGTTCACCAACACACTGGTGAAGCCAAGCATCCTCCCAGAGCGCCCACCTAGGGTGGTCCGGCTGTCTGCAAGGAGGCTGTGGAACAGGTTCATTTATCTTTGATGTTTTCCAACTATTCCTTCAGGGCCCCGCACCTCAGTCAAGCAAGGCTTGGTAGTAGGCTCTGGAACAGGAGCAACTAGTTGTAGCATGGATTCTACCTTCATCAGTCCCTCTGGCATTGATGGCTGCAGAATAATCCTTGCCCATGCTTTCTATAAAACAGTACTCATGGCTGGAGCGTGGGACCTCTCCTGGGCACCAGAACTAGCATTTGCAAGCTTTCAGGAGTCACCTTTGTGTACAGGGCTGAGTGGATCAACAGCCCACACCAGACCACCACACTGATGGAAAACCTCATCCTGAACCAGGTTAGACTAGGTCTACAGACACAATGGGAATGGAAAGACTGTGTCTGGATTAGCTACAAGGTCAAGCTGACTGCCCACTGTCACGATGGACCAAGTACACACTTGGGGTTCCTCCAGTTCTGATGCAGACACTGTCCAGGCTATCCAGGAAACAAATTTCAACAACAACTAGTAATCTGATGCCCATTAAGGTTTGCACACACTACCTCCTAGGAGTTTTAGGCCCAACACGGAGAATTAATTTGTGAATCAGACATGGAGTCACCCAGCCTGACAAGAGAGACGTAAACTAGAGCTTGGAAATGATGGGCTAGAGAGGGCAGTGCCTATGACCCCAGACAGTTTCATCAGTTGACTGTATTTGTTAGTTAATTTATTTTTATGTGTATGGGTGTTTCCCCTGCATGTATGTGTACGTGCCATTTGTGTGCAGCGCCCGTGGAGGCCAGAAGAGGGCATCGTATCCCCCTGGAAACACTGCTGTGAGCAACCACGTAGATCCTGGGAATTGAACCTGAGTCTTCTGGAAGAGCAGCCAGTGCTCTTAACCAGTGAGCCATGCCTCCAGCTCCTAGCTGACTCTGAAAAAGCCAGTTAATTGGAGAGTCATTCTGTTGGATCTGAGGTGGAAAGCCCTCAACCCACACTCCTCAGTTAGAGGGTGAGGGAATACTGGCTTAATCACAGTGAAAGCAAAGGCCCCTCCAGATGATGGAGCCTTGTTGCTAGGGAAACCATCAAGCTCTCAGGCGTCCCCAGGCACAAAAATATAATCGGAATACTTAAGAGTCCTGGACACTTATTGCTGAAGCTCTTCCACGGTCAGGCAGGGGCTGAGGAGGGCAGCAGGCTGGCATACCTTTGCGGAGAAGCACCTCAGGTGCTATGTAATTTGGTGTCCCGACCAGAGAGTGAGCCAGGCACCGCTGGTGCTGCTTCTGTGCTCTCTGCTCCAGCGTCTTCAATCTGTCTCCACAGCGACAGTTGGAAACATCATCCCAGAGGTCACCAGGCTCCATGCTGTCCTGTCTGATGTGGTTCCCTTTACCGAGGGAAAAGGTGCAGTGACAGAAAAGAGCAGAAAAGAACATCAGTTTTGATACTCAACATTGCAGCAAATCCACAGTTTAAAACAGAAATTCTGGTCAGTTCATGCCAGTACAAACTTCTTCCACTGACAAACCCAGGGCCTTGTGCATGCCAGTCAGATCTCTTTCACTGAACAACTACTCCAGGAGCCTTGAGACTTATTTTTCGAGGTTTCTTTTAATAGGGCAGTGTGGAAGTTCTTTATAAAAGCCTTTAGTGGTCAAAAAAATATCGTAAGAAAGCCCGCTAACAAAGGAAATACCCTCTACATAGCATAGCACTCCTTTAGGAAGGGAAGCATACCACACAAATCACAGTAACCCACCAACAGATCATTTAGAAATGAGCAGGTGCCATAAGGACTATGTGGCACCTGGCAGGGCTGTCCCCATGGGGTGTGGGGGGTGACACAGAAGGCCTGAAGTAGTACCTTTCTGGTAGTACTTGGAATTGTGAGTCCACCTGAATCCGGTGCAGAGGCCAAAATCTGTCAGCTTAATGTGACCATCCAGGTCGATCAAGATGTTGTCGGGCTTGATGTCCCTGTGGATGAAGCCCATCTTGTGGACACTCTCAATGGCCAGAGTCAACTCTGCAATGTAGAATCGGGCCAGGTGCTCAGGGAAGACTTCCATCCGGATCAGCAGGCTCATCATATCCCCACCGGGGATGTAGTCCATCACAAAGTACAGGCTGTCCTTGTCCTGGAAGGAGTAGTAGAGTTTGACCACCCACTCATTGTCTGCCTCAGCCAAGATGTCCCTCTCAGCCTTGACGTGGGCCACCTGGTTGCGGTTCAGGACGTCTTTCTTCCTCAGAGTCTTCATGGCATATAGCGCGTGAGTGTCCACCTTACAGGCAAGGCACACTTCTCCAAAGGCACCGATGCCCAGAGTTTTGATTTTCACAAACATGGACTTGTCCATTTTGGCCCTCTTCAGTCTGTTGTAGTTGGACTCCTTCTGGTAGAGGATTTTCCTCATCTGCTCCTGCTCAGCCTCACAGAGTCCAGCCTGCACACAAGGAGAGCCACAGAGTCATGTTATAGGGACCCCGCGGCAGCCAAGTGTGTGGGGCGGGAACACTTTGGAACAGCAAGGGCTCTTCAGAAAGACTACGTCTACCAGACTACAGGTGAGGTACCAGTCAGCCTTGATCTTTGTATGTGGACGTGGACATCTATCTCTGCATGAACATCCGTACACATATATGCAAATACGGAATCCAAAGAAAATTCTTTCTCTAAGTGATTTTAGGTTCTAAAAGTCAGAGAAAGACACTACTACTACTACTACTACTACTACTACTACTACTACAAAATCTGTGGAAAACATTCCTGGAATTTGTAATCTAGTATTTCAGTAGTTCAAAGAAAACAGAAAGCAGGCAATGAATCTGGACCAACAGGAAATGAAAACACAAACTTAAGTTTTAGAATTTGAAATGACTGGCTTGTGCAATGTAATTTACTATCATAATTAAATTTAAAATAATGTCATAAAACTTACCTTCTCTAGTACTTTACAGTGTCAATTACAGGATGTTTAAAACACTATTTGACTGGAGGAGAGATGGCTCTGTGGTAGGAGGACCGGCCACTCTTCCAGAGGACCCAGGTTCAGTCCCCAGCACCTACATGGTGGCTCACCACTGTCTGTAACTCCAGTTCCAGGGGATCCAAAGCCCTCTTCCGGCCTTCACAGACACAAGCAAATATACATGCAGGCAAAACACTCACACACATGAAAAGAAAATAAATCTAAAATAAAACAACACACACACACACACACACTATCTCCTGGGCTGGGCACTATGGAACATACTTAGAACCCTGGCATCTGAAGCTGGGGCAGGACTGGGAGACCCAGTTCTATGGGGGCTACAGATGAACATGCCATCTCAAAGAAGCAAACTAAAAGCACTATTTATTACTCTGGATCAATGGACCGCCAATATTGCACGTCTCTCTAAAAATATCTAATTTAGAAAACTTTTTTAAACATTCTTTTAAAATGTTAATTAGCAGGCAATCCTTGTACTTTCTTCAAAAGTAAGGCCACACCACACTGATCAGTTTGCTGATGTACTTGTTAGACAGGGTCCTCAGGAAGGAAGCAAAGGGAGACCACACACTGTGGCTTCTCCCAGCGCCTGGCTCATGCCCAGGTCTATGAGGAGGGCGTGTGATGAGGGTGCTGCTACCGTGGACAGGGAAGCTGGGAACAGAGTAAGAAGGAAGTGAGAAATTACTTTGGCCATTTCCTGCTCCAGCTGCAGCCTCCGGCTGACCTTCTGCTGGTAGGTTTTGATGACATTCTCCACGTGTTGTTCCATGAAGAACTTGAAGGCGTATGGGGAGTAGCTCTTGATGCGTGACTCTCTCTTCTCCTCATCCCTGCTGTTCTTGCGGACCGGCACCGGGGAGGTCTGGATCTGCTTCTTGTCCCTGCCAGCTTTGTCTCCCTTGGCACCCTTGTGGCTCTTGTCGCTCCGTTCCTGCTCGGTGGCGCCCCCACGCAGACTCTGCTCCACACCGGTACACAGGCTGTCCAGGTCCAGGTTGTACTGCTCGGCCTTGCTGGGCAGCAGCAGGTGCTTCGGGTAAGGCGGCGGCGGGCACCTGCGCTCAGAGCCACCGTAGTCCACGTCCAGCGGGTGCTGGCCAGTGCTGCCCTCCTTGGTCTCCAGGCCCTCGGTGGCAGGTGCTGTGGGCGCAGGCACCCAGGCAGGGTGTGAGGGCCCCACCGCTGTCTGGGGCTCGGGCCGCAGCACACGCACGCTCTTCACAGGGTGCAGGATGTGAGCAGCTGTCACTGCGGTGACCGTGTTGGGGGCGGGCAGTGAGGGCTCGGGCTGTGGGCTGCTGAAGGAGTTTGTCCTGCTGGGGGCGGCCCGGAAGGCCACGTGCTGCCGGGTGCCCTCTAGACCCTGCTTCTGCATCGAGTCGCGGCGTGCCAGTGGTGCTGCCGCCCAGGACACTGGGGAGCCCAGCTCATACAAGTCGGCGTTGAGGCTGTTCCTGGATGGCGCTAGCACTGCCTGTGGGGGGCTGTCGCCAGAGAACGTGGGGCCCCGGGCACCCAACACATGCAGTGGGTGGGCCCCAGGCGCCACAGCGGCCGGCTTGTGGTGTGCAGTAGTGTACAGCCCAGCATGGGCAGGGAAGGCGAGGCTGGCAGGAGGGCCGCCCTGGGCTTTGGCCAGGCCGGAGTAGGCGTCTGGTGTTGTCTTGCTCTGGAAGGAGGGGCTGCGCTGCACCCCGTATCCTGGCTGCTCCGCTAGCACGTGAGGACGACCATAGTGTGTGCCCGGAAAGTGCGCCCCTGCCTCCACCGCTGTGCTGTAGCCTTTGGGAGGGTGTTGGTGACCAGGGGTGCTGTGAGTGCTGACCCCAGGGAAGAGGAAGTCTAAATACTGCCGTGGCATCTCCTCCAGCGCAGCGGGGCCCTCATAGTTTGCACCACCCAGCTGGTGGTAGGATGGGAATGCTTCCCCCGGGCCCTCGAAACTTGGCCTCCGAGTCACCGGGGTGGGCACCAGGCCCTTTCCTACAGAGGAAAGAGTGAGAAGTCAGCCTGAGAGCACATGGGAACTGTGGGCTGCTACTTGCAGGCCGGTCCTCACACTAGCCTTATCTTTGGGGTTGGGCAAATGTGTAAGGTCTTCTACTGAGAGTCCTGACAGGGTGGGTCCTGCCCCAGCAGAAACCGGTCTCTCTAATGCTGTGATGATGGGGCTAAAGGCCGAAGAGCATATGGAAGGTCGGGGGTACAGTGCCCTAAGAGGACACAGCACCCAGGGTCAGTCTCCAGACATGCTAGGGACTACCTGGACAGCCAACTTTGTTGTTATTTGAGGGAGCCAAGTTTACATACTATCATGGTTTCCAAAGGGCAGAACTGTACCCACTGTCCAAATACTCATTTTCCTTTCACCTATTTTCCAAATTAAAGATTTGCTGGGTTTCCGTCTTTATTAAGGACAAACAAGGTAATATATACCCAACACTCACTAAGAACAAAACCACGAAGAGGAGGTGGAGAAATGGCTCAGTAAGTTCAGAGTGCAGAGGACCCGAGTTTGGCTCCCAGCACCCATACCAGGTGGCTCCCAACTGCCTGTAATTCCAGCTTTTGGGGACTCTGCCCCTGCACAACATTGCAATTGAGTGCATGTGCATGCGCGCACACACCCCATTAAAAATAAAAATCTTCTAAAAACTCCTTAACAACAAGCCACAAAGAGTCCCTCTTTGCAAACACCCAGACATGTGGATGGCTGATTCCTTATCCCTGGCTTCTCCATTTTGAAAATCTTTCCTCATTTAAAGTGGATGCCTGGAAAGGGCAAAGGCCCCTTTCACTTCCCTACTTGGATTCCTCTGATCTGACAGAGGACCCTGACATCCAAAGGCTGTCTTACTCACTCTAGGGATAAGCCCCACGCCATCCCCTAACATACCCGACAGAAGTAACCCAGCAGCCTTGGCATTGAACAGGAGTTAGGTGATGGGTGGCTTTGTGTACCTGATTGAGCAAATGCTACTAGCACAGCACACCACAACCAAGCAGGAAGGCGGTTGTGACAGAGCTGGGCCCTGTTTCCCTGCAGCACTGCTCTCCAGGACAGACCCCAGAATGCCAAGAATCCAAGAACAATGGCCAGTCAGAGCTAGTGAGAGAAATTTCTTTTCTCAAGAAACCAGAACACAAACACTTTGAAAGCCCTTGAAATGTCCTCATTCACCACGGGGAGGCTTTACCCCAGGTCTGCCACCAAGCAGGGGATTACATACATCCTTTATTTTACCCAGGAACCACAGGCTATCTACTCCACCTAGGAGAGGACCATCCTGACAGCCGGTGAAACAGAGTGGGCATCCCCCGTCCCTCCCAAGGCTTAAACACTGCTCACAGCTGCAGACCTTGAGAGCTACCAGCTATCAAATGTGAAAAAAAGTTTTTGGAATTGGTAAGTCTCCCTTTTCAAAGACCAGCCCCAATAAAAGGTTTTAAAAAGTTGAACTCTTTTCTTCCCCCTTTAAAGATGGAAAAATTCAACAGACACATAAACCCTCTAGACAGTAACACAGGCTGCCATGGAGAGGTGTCAGAGGGTCAGGTAGGCAGCTAGGTTAAATTCCAGGATCGACTGACTACCTGTGGTTCACCCCACCACCCCAGGATCAACTTTCAGGGGCAGGTCTGACTCTCTGTGTGGGGCTCACCTGGGGAGGTCTGCTTGATGACTCGCACAATCTGCTCATTCCTGGGGTCCAGGTAGCCCATCTTACTGATGTACTCCAAGGCTGCTTCAATACTCCTACTGCCCGTCTGCTTGAGAGCTCTGCCAGCCATCTCCTAGGAAGAAAGCAAGGGATATCATGGATGTCATCATCATCATCATCATCACCACCACCACCACCGCCGCTGCCGCCGCCATCTTCACTACAACAAAGTCACTGGTGACTCCTCTATGTGGCTGCTGGGGCCCACCAGGTGTTACAGATGACCTGGAGCACACACAAGCAGTTGCAACCATCTGCACATACCACACCGTGCACCCTAAGGACTCGTGTCAAGAATGTGCAGGGTCTCTGATGGTAGGTCTGAAAGAGACTCAGGCTCTTTAAAGAACTTCAGTGACCACTGGTGGGTCCAGAATGAAGTAGTATAGCAGTAGGAAACTGGCCTTGATCCCAGCTTCTCGGCTCTATGCTAACTCTGGAATCAGTGGAAATGCACTGGATGGGAGCAGGGAGAAACTGCTTAAGTCATTTATGAGATGCTTATTGAATGCCTCCTGTTGACAATGTCCTCTGCCATCTACAGCAGTTAGGGAGTATAGCAGTCTCCGTGAAGCCCCTACAGCTCTGTTCGCACACGACATGTCCCTTAAAAGTGTTTGTAGAATGAACACACAGCAGGAAAGGGCAGGTGAAGTAGCCCTGAGTTAAAGAGATAGCTCCCTTCTACCCAAAGGTAAGACATGGCATAGAACATGCCCTTTCAAGGACAGATGTATATGGAGAAGGTGGAAAGTCTAAGTGGAGAAAGTTACCCAGGGACGATGGGCAAGACAGAGAAGCAGCTGTGGGTGGAGCATGCTAGGATGGTGGTGGCAACACCCAGGAGCATGTGATGTGACAGGGAACTCCCATCTAGGGTGGGGCCATGCCTGGTTTTGCTTATTTACAACACCAAGGGAACTTTCAAACAGGGACACACATAATGTGAAGATGAAGCTAGGGGGTTCTGGGGGTGCAGACTTCAGACACTTTAGGGCAGAGATGAAGGAAGCAGAGGGGGCAGGGCTAGGGCAGCTGAGGCCCTGTCTTTAGGACTGGGAAGACGGCTCAGCAGGCAAAGGCAGCAACAGAGGCTTTGGGGGCTTTGGGGGAGGGTACCAAGCACTGTAAAAGAGAAATGTGGGAAGAAGGCACCGAAAAGGGGCAGGATTGGGTGAGGGGACACAGGGGACACACAGAGATGTTCAGCAGTAGGCAGTCCAGCTGTGGAGCAGAGAAATACTGTGAAGAGAGAGCACGGTCCTCACTGTTCCTGGCCAGGCATGATGACACCTCATCATTTATCCCAGCCTGCTTCCTTAGGACTGGGAGGAATCAGCTGGGTATGGGGGCTCGCTAGGTAGGCACATCTCTGTATGTTTGAGGTTAGCCTGCTCTACAATGCACATTCCAGGACAGCCAGGATTACACAGAGAAACTGTCTTAGGGGGAAAAAAAAAGAGAAATCTGGCAGGCTCTAAATCTCCACATTATACAGCTTCATCCACCCACTTCACACAGTGCCTAGAACAAACCAAGCGCTTACTACTCACCATGTGATCATCCAACATTAAATCATGTTCTCTGTTCCTGGCTGTGTGACAGCTGAGTGGTGGGACAAAAAAAGGGAGGGGGTGGACTCCCTGTAAAGTCACTGGCCAGATCTGGGACTCAACAAGACAGAGGGCCAAAGGAAGCTGGGGCGAGCCCCGATGGAGGTCTGAGGGGCCGCTACCCAGAAACGGGGGCAGCAGTGAGAGCTGAAGAGGCAGGCTGGGAAACGGTGGTGGGAATTCTATGAGGCAGTACTTTGCTTGACGGAAGAGCCAGTGTTCATCATCTGGAGTTGCCAGGGGAGAAGGCAGCAGAGCTCACCTCACCTGGAGCCGGTGATGACACCTCACCTTCCCTACTTCATGGCTAAGCTATGTGATGAGGTCATGTCTACACAACTCTCAAGGACTGCATCTCAGCACACCACTTGGAGTCTTTTGTTCCCACTAAAAATGTGCCAAGTGGAGCTGCCCCTAACCACAGGCCTTTGGCACTAAGAGTTCAGCGGCTTTGTGTGAACGACTCTGTCTCTTCCAGGGTACGTTATCTGCCTAAGCTCCTTACTTCCAGGATTTCCCAACAGTCAGGGAATGGACAGCAGGAGAAAAGGGCTTGTCACCTGGATATGAAGCCAAGCTCCCAAGACTTCAAGATCTGTGACTTGGCCAGGAGGAGTCTAGTGAAGCCTTAGGTGAAGACTCGGAGTGGCAGGCATTTTTTTTTTTTTTTTTTTTTTTTTTTTTTTTTTTTTTTGGTTTTTCGAGACAGGGTTTCTCTGTGTAGCTTTGCGCCTTTCCTGGAACTCACTTGGTAGCCCAGGCTGGCCTCGAACTCACAGCGATCCGCCTGGCTCTGCCTCCCGAGTGCTGGGATTAAAGGCGTGCGCCACCACCGCCCGGCGGCAGGCATGTTTTAAATCATGAACCCAAGTGACACTCATTAGCCAGCGTGTTTATAAATAAAACCTGCAGTCCTGCCCTTTGCGCTACCTGTCCATCACCACAGGGTTATCAAGTCTGTAGTTTCTACAGCAGCTCTCAAATAGGCTCCCGTACATATTCCAAACGATGACGGGCTTTGGTTTTGTTCTGTGGTGCCTCACACATGCTGGCAAAGCTCCACCACTGAGCTCCACCCGAGCGAAAGGAAGCCCAGAATCTGTTCCTAAGTCCACCAGGAGCACGGGTCTCAGCGTGCAAGGACAATACATATGAAGTTATGACGGGGTGTGGCAGGAGGTCTCCAGAGGACTGAGTCAGGCTCAACTCCAGCAGAGGAACCTGGCGTCTCCCCTTCCTTTCTCAGAGCACTGAGCCAGTGTTCTGAGTCCTGATCTAGAACCGTCTATGTTCTGAGTACTGAGCTCAGATACAGAGGCAAGCTCCTCAGTGCATATGTGCACACACGTGTGCACACACACACACACACACACACACACACGCGCGCGCGCGCAGGTACCGCTCTTTGCTGCCAAGCAGCCCTGCAGCCTTCACAAGTCTACTCCGAGCATCTGTTTCCTCATCTGGGAAACGAAGCTACCCAGGGCTGCTCTAGGGATCGAGGGAGGTGACTGGTGTCCCCGTGTTCCAGGGCCATTTCCACATCAGCTGCTATACTTCTCGTTTGTCTCTGGTAGAAAATATAAAGATGACGTCTGTTGATTTTAAGTGCATTTGGAATCAAATACCTCTAATACTTCATATTTTATTCTTTTAACCGTAATTACATAAGACAATGTGTTGAGCTCCTTTCACCAGGCCTTAATACCTATCTCTGGTTTTGTCTAGGTCACCTCAAACCCAGGTTAGGCTCATGGAAATGGCAAAGCCTTCCCTCTTGGTCCATATGTGAATGGTGACAATATGTACAGAGAATGTCCACCATAGATTCCTTCCCCACCTTCCATGATTACTGCCTGAAGACTACTCCACTAAATCTGCTCCCTTGGTCCAGCTGAACACCATAAACCCTGCCTCCTTGTTTATCTACACGAAATAACTACATCTCCTTGCTCAACTGTATGCAACAATTCTGCCTCTGTTCAACTGTATACAATAGACGCACTACAGCTTCTCGATCTGAGAGCCCAGACTTCCCCATGCCAGCTTCTCTGTTGTTCTGTGTCTGGCTGGCTATTGTTTCTTCACTCCCTTGCCCTGCAGCCCCAGTCAGGCCGAGTCCCTGGTTGTAAGAACCCCACCATTCCTAGGCAGCAGGCACAGCTGCTTCTTGACTGCTGTCCTCCTGCCAGACTCTCAGGACTGTCTCTCACGTGAGGGCATCTACCCAGCTTCGGAGCTGTTCTGAAAAGTGCAGCATCACTCACTGTCCTCCCTGTCCAAGCACACCTCAGGCTGGGAAGCCCTGCCTCGTCAGCCTGGCTACCCACATGTCAGGAACCAACCAGCTGGGAGGCTCCCTCATCCTGGAAACGCCAGTGATCTCACTCTCTCTCTCTGTGGTTCGCTTCCCCACCACCAGTGAGGCCTGTGGGACTGCTGGAGGAGCAAATCTGTTCTCACAGGTTCACCCAGCTCACAGGCAGGCAGAAGCTGGCCTGACAGTTGCTATACAGTGTAATGGTGTTACTAGCATCCCTTGTGACTGCAAGTTATTTAAATTCAGTGACAATTTATTATGTATGAAGGAAGGAATTTCCTTTGCAGATCCTCTCCCACCCCTTCCTGGTGAGGAAGCATTTTTCAAACGTTAGCAAAGCCATATCCCATGCTTTAACATTCCAACAATGAGGTTTGGCTGAGAAACTAGAAATGGAGTGCTCTGGCCTTGCTGTGTCTTCCAGGCCTTGTCTCAGTCTGTATCTGCCTGTTTCTGGGTCTCTCACAGATCTTGTGATTTTCGTCCAAGGTTGGGAGAAGAGTGGCTAGGTCTGCAGGCCATGGTGACTGTTGTTTCAAAGCCCGAAGGATTCCACTTATTGGAGAGAACAGAGAAAGAAGGGAAAAGCGTGTGGCTGCCCAGGCTGGGGTGGAGTGGAGGGATGCCAGAGATGCTCAAATGGTGGCTGAGGCCTCCTGCTCCACCCACTGTCCTTCTCAGGCTGACTCTGCCTTTCTCTAAGTGGCGTCCAGGAACCTTCTGGAAGCACAGAGGAACCCAGTGTTTCAGAGTATCCCACTGACAGTTGTCAGCCCTAACCAGAAACACAGCCCCAGGGGGACCCATGTGAGACTCAGGGTGCCCACCCATCTCCCCTGCCTTTGTGCTTTCTGGAGAGAGCCTAGAAGGCTCCGCATGGGCTCTGAGAACATGCTCCAGAGAAGCCAGAATCACAGGGAAGAAAATGGAAGCAGTCTTGGCAGCTTCCGTGGGTGGACATGAAAGGAAAGGAGTTACTACCTCACACCTGGGCAGCACACGGAGCGTGTCAGCCCAGACAGCAGCCCTCGAGCCTGCTGGGGAAGCTGCAGCTCACGCATCTTACCATCTTCTTTTTTGTTGTTATTGGGTTGTGTTTTTTTGTTTTTTGTTTTTTGAGACGGGTTTCTCTGTGTAGCT